GCTAATAGTCACGTGAATGAACATGGCACACAAACCTGATACGTTAAAAGGCAGTATAATTGAATCTGACTTATTGCTGGCACATGGGTAGGTTACTCTATTGTTCTCAGATATTTAAAAACTTACCCTTTAACAGTTTCATGTTGATGTGATTTTTGACTCAAGTAGTTTCTCCTTCCTTAAGAGTAAAAGGAAGTTTTTGCAATAGACGATATTTGGCTTATAGACTGTGAGGTCTCTTGGAACCTTGACCTTCAGTCATTCACTGTGTGGCTGAGTGGTGGGGAGGACATTGTAGAGATTCAAGTTCCCAGCATTTCACATGAGTTAACGCAGTTCAGCCTTTGGCAACCTGCCACTCCCTCTTGCAGACAAGTTTGTGAAATTTGACACTCTCATGTCTTTCTTTAAAAAATCTTGCAAGGTTCAGCAGTCTTTTAAACTCTATTGTCAGACCCACCTGTGAGGTTCTCTTGGACCTGTTGTCAGAAGAGAGTCTGTACATTTCACTGACTTGGGGGGAAAAAAAAACTCTCAGCCTAGTGTTCGAACAATAACTTAAGCTTTGGATGCAGAAATGGGGCACTGCTCTTTTTGTCTCTTCTGCTGCTACCAACTCCCCTTAAATTATGAACCATATACAAGCATATATTGTATCCCCAGAGCATAGTGAAGTAGGATTTCAACAACTGTTCCTTTAGTCAACAAAGTAAACAGAACCTAGAGAGTTGTCCACTAAAAATACAGAGAACTTCTTAGGTAGAAGTAGAGTGGTATATGAGTAATAGGGCTCTTACTATATTTTGCTTTTAGCTCATCTCCTTTGGTTTCATTTTCATGCTTCAAGTCTTTGGGGCCCATCCTTGCCCTTGTCCTTGATGAATAGGTACGATGGCTGAAAAACACATGTCTTGGTTGTTGCAAAGATCTACCATTTACTGACTACGTGATTTACCTTAAGTGGTTCAAATTCCTAGTCTGTGAAGTAGAAATAACAAATGATGTCTGCCCTCCACCCCCACTCCAACCGCCTCTGCTTGATATGTGGGTCAGATGAGAAACTGAATTGTAAAGCGTCATTTAACTTACAGGGTGCCCTGCCCTGGGAATTCGCATTCTCACCGAGGATGGGAGTAGTCAGCTATCCCAGGGTGCATGGAATGAGTCTCTCTGTTATAGGATAGCAGTCGAGACTTTTACCCTTCTTTGGCTTTTGTGATCATGAGCCGCTGCTTCTTACCTTACGCCCTGGTCCTGCACCCCACCCTCTGCGAGCTGGACCTCTGTGTGGCCACTCTGTTTACTGTGACATTCTTTTTTCAGTTGACCTGGAATTTATCCTTGTAACTTCCCAAACTAGTTATACTTCTTGGTTCTAGTTTTAGAGTTAACATGAAACAGTTCAAATCAGCACATGTCAAGTCATAGAAATTTATAAGTGAGAGAGGGATTTTACAACACGGCTTCCTGTTTTTGGCAGTTCAGTTCAGTAAATAAAAGCTGGTGCCTGTCACGTGGGGCTGCGCTCGGGCACTAAAGGCACCATTGTTTCTCCTCTGGTCCCAGATCTCCGGAAGTGCAGCAGAAGGGCATGCAACCCGAATGGAGATGAATGGGAAGTACAGACTTTTAACTCCTTAATGTGCAAAAATAACAGCGGTTTTGATTTCATTTAGGGTACTTGCTGAGTACGTGCCTGTGTTTATTAGGTTATAATTCATGTAAGTGGCTAAGCAGACTACTGATCTATAAAAATGAAGATGAAAGAATGATAAATAATAAAGCCATCTATTTCTGATTTTTATATGCTGCTCTGTGTTTGTTAAGCAGTAAGCGAAAAACATAACTGCACCTAGAGGAAGGGAAACTGGTGAAATGGCAGAATGGTGATACTTCTGTGCGCACTGTGCTAGATGTTCCTAGAGTTGCCGCAGCCCCTGAGGACCCTGAAGCGTCTTCTCAGAGATTAAGGGCAGGATACACTCGCCTCATAGAGTTACATGTTAATTAACAGAATTTAAAACAAAACAAGCAAAAAAACAAAACAAAACCCACCACAGCCCCGATGCCAGAGTTCGATGCCCTGGGTTCTCTTCTTGCCCATATTGCTGGTGGGCAGTGTGATTTGGGGGGGCATCTGTCTCTACTCTTCAGAATTTCATTTTCTCTCAGATTCAAAATGGGGCTAATTTTTTTTTTCCCCTGCCTCTGTTAATAGAGTTGTTTAGGATTAAATGTGGTCATGTATGTGGACTTAAATCTTCACTTCTTACAAGCCATGTAACTTTGAGAGACTTCTCTGTGCCTGTTTCTTCATCTTTCAAGTGAAATAATATTATTACCTACTTCCGCATTCTGTGAGAAGTGAGTTAATTCCCACCAAGTACATTGATCAGTGCCTGACAGTTAATGCCTAACAGTAATTATTTTTTGTGAAATTTGAAGGCTCTATGACTTAATATAGTTTTAGTCTACTGAAAGTTTGCAATGACTTAAAAAAAAAATAATTAATGCCCTATTACCATGTATTATCTTTCTGATCATTTTGGTAGTTTCACAAGATAGGTCTTTGTTGTCAGTGCTCATGATACTGAAAACTTCTTCCCAAAATGCCTTTTGTCTTCAGAGCTTCAGACCAAATTTATTTATTCTAGGAAGTGCCTTTTACTGGCAGCGTGAGTTTGGAAAGCTTTAGGTGGGAATCAGGATATGACCCTTGCCTTGTCTATTACTGTTAGAGGTTGGAGATCTTAATTGTCCAGAGCTTTGCTTATGTTGTATGTGACAAAAATTTTTTAAAATGTTATCTTTGATTTTGAGGTATGCTAAGTCAGTGTTTTTGTGACCCATTCAGCTTTGAAAGGTAATGAAATGTTGATCAAGAGCTCCACCACAACAGACCCATTTGTGCTAATCCTAGTGGTTTATTTCACAGAGGCAGTTTTTCAGATAAAAATACTGATCATGACTTCCTGTGACTTTCCCTAAAGGGGTGAAATTAAATTGTGGGAAATGCTTGGGATTTAACTGGTAATTAACTTATAAAGAACCATTAAAAAAATCATAACTCTCCTATTATAACAAAGAACCTTATGAATTCAGAATTCTTTTGTGTATTTATTTTTTATAAAGTGAAACCCAGTGACTGTTGTTCAGTATCTTTAAGTTTGTTACTGAACTAAAATGATGTCTTTAGACAGAGGAGCCTTTGAGCCCCATACTGGCTTTTCAACCTCAAGTCCAGTTTAGATTAACACTGATGCTGCTGCTGTTACACTAGTTATTTGGATATGAGTATGGATATTTGTGGCTTGATATTATAGACTTTCATTACAAAATTTGATGGGATATTTGGAAGTTAAGAGAAAATGGGCACGTAGGCTTTTCCTGTTTTTCTGCTTATCAGTAGAATTGAGGCTGTCAAATATTTTGTTTCATCTGTCTTACCTGGAGTTACCTAGTTGTGTATTTACTACTTCTTGAATGCCAAATGCCTTCTTTCTACATTTTTATTTATATGCAGTGTTACATACAATCCTAAATAGCATGATTGGGCTACCATTTTGAAATGAAGAAATTACTTTTAATTACTTTTATTAATACAAAAAGCACACGTTAATTTTATCTGCTACTTGATTTGTTTTCCAGAGCTTTCGTGTTAAGGAAGTCGGGACTCTGGAGAGGTACTGAGTAGACTAGCAGGTGTAGAGTAGGAAGTGTTTGCAAGGGGCCACATGGCAGAATGAAAAGATTGCCATTTGGAAACCCTGGGTCTCTGTGATGCTGGGGAAATTTTCTGCTTCTTTCAACATTCATTTCCCCAACTGTCAATGGACATTCTGTGTATCTGGAAAGGTTATAATCTGATACCACACTATGCTGATATATAGTGTAGTTCCACCAAATAGTAACTGTGATATTTTGTATTAGAAATTGTTCCATTGGGGCGCCTGGGTGGCTCAGTGGGTTGGGCCGCTGCCTTCGGCTCGGGTCATGATCCCAGGTCCTGGGTTCGAGCCCCGCATCGGGCTTTCTGCTCGGCGGGGAGCCTGCTTCCTCCTCTCTCTGCCTGCCATGCCTGCCTTTCTGCCTGCTTGTGATTTCTCTCTGTCAAATAAATAAATAAAATCTTAAAAAAAAAAAAAAAAGAAATTGTTCCATCTATGTTTAATATTTCAAAGCAGTTCTGAATGGACATTTTGGGATTCTTTGTTTTGAACATATTAATACTAATTAATATTAGTAGGCTTATATTAATAGGCTTATAATTTTCCAAGATTACCAGAAGACTTTAAGAACACCAAAAAGAATACTTGATTTCTGAACATGTTACTAGGCTTATAATTTTATAAGATTACCAGAAGACTTGGAGAACACCAAAAGGAATTTTTCATTTCTGAGTAAACTAACCATTAATAAATTCTTATTTCTTGATTTCCTTTGTTTACTATGTTAGAGTTGTAATGACCACTTTCCCCTATCTCCAGCTTGGACATCCTTGTGAGTTTAGCTTTAAAAAAAGTTAGCAAAGTTACTGAAAAGGATATAGAGTACTGCCAGGATAGTTTCCGCATTCACAATGAAGTATGTCATTCCTAATTTGTTTCAGGAGTATTTGAGCCTTTTGAGACTGTTTATAAAGTGCCCTGACAGACACAAATTGTGTTTTCAAGTTGGTCTCTTTGTGAGGGAAAAGGAAAGGATGCAATAAGGGGTGTCTTCATGGGCTGCACCTTCCCTACGGCTCTCTTATTTTTTCTGGTTCATTGCTGGTTAGGATTTGATATTAGTACATTAGTGTTCCTACGAACCTGTGGCTGTCCCCACGAACAGGTGGCTATATTCTAATGCAAGTTGAACTATATGCTGCCTGGGGGCCAATATTTGAAACACTATTTTAATGAGACATAAAATTGTATGCTAAGTCTTCTTTATGTTTAAAAAAAAAAAAAAATCCAAGGTTTTTTTTTTTTTTTTTTTTTTTCAATTTGTTTTTCCAGGTGGCATTTTTCTGAAGTTGTTCATTGACACTTCCCAGCATTTCTGCAGATAAAATAGGTAAGTAGTAGAAATCAGATACCTTCATTATAACAGTTCTTTGGATACACTTTCCAGGGGGGTAGCAAATTACTTCTTGAAAGAGGTACAGTATTTCAAACTTTTGGATCTTGAACGGTAACACTAGTTTGTTTGTTTGTTTTTGTTTAGAAATACCTCTCAGATGATTGATTGTAAAAGACCCTGTAAAGGTTCTGTGACCATCTGTAAGCAAATTTCCAAGCTCTTTATAATGGGCATAGCTGATTCTGAGTTGTGTTTCCTTCTGAGTTCTCTGTGGACCATTTCACCATTTTTACCATCTCTCTGTGAAAGGAGAAGTAAAGATGGCCAATTCAAATTACCCAGTTTTATTACTTGATGACAGCTCAGGTAGAGGAATTGCCTAAATAAAAGTTGAAAACAGTTGACTAATAGGTGATGTATGATTGAGTTTGTTGATTCTGATTTATAAAGGTTTCTTTTGGAAAATGTTAGTAATAACAAATAGGGTTTGAGTAATCTCCTACAGTATGCGTTCAGGAAAATCAATTAAATAATTGTTTTAAAAGACTTTGATCCGGGGCACCTGGGTGGCTCAGTGGGTTAAAGCCTCTGCCTTCGGCTCAGGTCATGATCCCAGGGTCCTGGGATCGAGCCCCACATCGGGCTCTCTACTCGGCAGGGAGCCTGCTTCCCCCTCTCTCTCTGCCTGCCTCTCTGCCTACTTGTGATCTCTGCCTGTCAAATAAATAATAAATAAAATCTTTTAAAAAAATAAATAAAAATAAAAGACTTTGATCCATCTCTGCTTCTAAAAAGGCAGACAGTATTCAACTCGGTCCCCCAAGGCCCTTGTAATGAACTTGAGGATACGGCTCAGGCCAATGGAGCCAGTATGTGGTTCGAATGTAGGACCCACTGACATCCTCTCCAGAAGGCTCTGCCATATGCAGTGAATTCACAGATTACTTTCACAGATGCCATCTCAGCTGTGGAATGGAGATCTTTTTAGCTTATAGATTCTGGGGAAGGCAAAATTGCCCTTATATCATGATTTGAACTATTGATTTCTGAAATGTTATTAACTTGTTTTAATAGCTACTACTGCTTGGGTTAGATTAGGAAGCTTGGGTTCTTTTTTTTTTTTTCCTTCTTTTTTTTTTTTATGGGAACTGTAAACACCTGTGAGTTATGAAATAATTTGAGCAAAGTTCCTTCTCTTGGGAAAGCCAGGGCTGACCCACGATGGGTGGGTGTCTTGTGAAGGTTAATCATTGGCACATTATCAAACTGATAATCTTGAAATATCTGTTCTATTATTTATTTACTGGGAGTAAGTGAAACTGATTTTCTATTAATGAAGACTATTAATAAAAAATACATATCTTTTCCTGTATGTTGAAAATAAGGGATTTATTACTAATGTGACTTTCTGAACCAGGTGTTCATACGTCTGTTTAAAATTTGGTTAATAATAACACTCTGCCACGCATTGTTCCGGTCCAGACTTTCAGATGCCTGTCAGCCAGGTGACATTGGGGTTGGTAGTGAGGCCTGTTTTCACTCATACAGATCTACAAGGGAAGATATTCTCAGGAGAGACAGATCTGTGCTGGTGAGGAGTGTGTTTATTCCAACTCCCAGGCACTGTCTGTTTGAGTGGAAACAGGGCCAGCTGCCATTTTGTCCATTATGTAATGAGTCGTCTGTGAACCCCTGAGTTAAGTGGCTCCATATTTCCCATGTATTCCAATGATGATTTAGTCCCCCACTGTGGGTTTGTCACCCTGGATCACTGCCAGGCTGGCCTGTTTAATCCATCTCTGGGGAGAAGCCAGTTCCATTCTGCCAGTGCCTTCAGGAGCTAAGTCTTGTTCATCCTCGAAATCCCCCTCTCCGAAGATTTAGCCAGATAAAACAGCTATCTCTATCTCTCTCTCTTTTTAAATTGTGAGTTCATCCCATACAAATGCAATAAAACTTGACCAAGTCAGATACTGGAGTGGCCTTTCTGAAATAACAGCATGTGAATTATGAAGAAATCAGCCTCCTCATATCATACCACCTTGTTGAAAGGTTGCTCTTGAACAAGGAGTCACCACAGTCTGAGGAGAGCCTGCCTTGAGGTGGTTCAAGGCTGAGAGTCCATCTCTGCTGGGCACAGACCTGGGTTGGGATTCCAGATACGGTGCCATTTGGCTGTGTGACCTCAGGCATGTTCCTTTACCTAGTGGAATGTCCATCTCTTTATGTGTGAATACCCCTTTTCCCTGGAATGCTTTGGAGGATTCAGTGAGGTAAAGATGACATGTGTGTAGCGTTAGAGCAGCCACAAGTACCTTGTGCATGTCTTCCTGACATCAGGGACCTCGGAAGGTGCACTGAGTGTGGGATGGAGGAACTGCTCTGCCAGCTGTCTCTTCTGCCTCCTTGGTAGAGTGGCGGGGTCGTACCTGCTCTGTTAGGGCCTGCCTGCTCCGTGCAAATTGTGAGAAATCTTTGAAAAGCGTGAATTGAGGGTGTGTAGTTGGTATTAGGGGGTTTCTGTTGGGCAGGCTTTAAAAAAAAAATCTGGTCAGACTTTCTGGGCTTCAGTCCCAGCTCTACACCTTATAATTAGGTGTATGACCTTGAACAAGTTATTAACACCCTCTCTGGCTCTCACCTGTCTCATGGGATTGCTGGGAGATTAAATGATGTATTGTGTGTAGAGTGAGCCATATGGAACTAGCACCTAGTGAATCTCAATAAATATGCTCATAAATTCACCAGGACACAGGAAGGGAGGCAGGGAATCTGACTTGAAAAAATGTCCATAGTTTTAAAATCTCTTTTGAGTTTGAACTTTGCCTTATTGAGCCGCCTTTTTTGGGTTGGGGGTGGGGAGGGACTCCATTCAAGTTAAGGTATTTAGATCAGGAAGGATCACCTTTTTCTTGAATAAGTTGAGAGTGACCTTGCCCTCCAATGTGGGACTCCCTCATCAGAAGGGTTGAAGCATTGGGAGTTTTAGTCTTCTTTGGTTTTCTCTTCACGAGTAAATGAATCTTTCCCCCCAGTTCTAAGTTTTCAATGAAGTTGTCTCAAAAATGCATAAAAGTTTTCCAGTAACTGAATTAACTATCAGTTCTAAATTTTTTCTTTTCTTTTAAAGATTTTATTTGTTTATTTGACAGAGAGATCCCAAGTAGGCAGAGAGTCAGGGAGAGAGAGTGGGGAGAAGCAGGCTCCCTGCTGAGCAGAGAGCCTGATTCCCGGCTCCATCCCAGGACCCTGAGATCATGACCTGAGCTGAAGACAGAGGCTTAGCCCACTGAGCCACCCAGCTGCCCCAAATAAATAAAATCTTAAAAAAAAAAAAAAAAAGAATAGAAAAAGACAACACATGATTACTAAGTGGATTTTGCCTTTAAAATGAAAAGCTGGGTTAACATTTCAGTATTCATAAAGGTAACTCATTGCGTCACAAAGTAAAAAATAAAAACGGAGACAACTTGGGCATCCAGATCTATTTTTTCAGCTGTACATTTTATATGGTTTAATCAGATCATGTATTTCTGATGAAAACTTAGTACCTGAATTGAGATGTGCGTTACGTGCAAAGGACACAGAAGATTTTTGAAGTGTTAGTGTTAGGAAAAAAGGATGTAAAATATTTTTAATACTTTTTACACTGATTATATGTTGAAATGATAATATTTGGGACATATAGATTTGAATATATTATTAAAATTAATTTCTTCTTTTTAAATGTTTTTACTAAAATTTTTAAATGCTGTACCTGCTCACATAATATTTCCATTGGGCATCGATGTTCTAGAAGATCCTTGAAAAAATGGGGTGATCTCTAATTTATTAAGTAAAATACAGTTTTTTTCCAATAGATTGTGAAGGTTATGGAAGTGAGGTTTTTTTTCTCCTTTTAAAGTTTTTGTTCACAGTCTACGGTTGAGAGGACTATTTTTAAATACTCAAAATGGGAAAGAAAAAGAAAAGACACATAGCTGCTGTGTTATCGGGACCTTATGTCTTAGAGCCCGAGGCTCCATTTTGATGTCTTTGCAGTAGACCTTTCTCCTCCACTTCCTTCTGAAATGTACCAAGGGAGACATTCACCACTACTCCCCAGGGTATGAACCCAAACACAACTTTCCAGCTAGATGTTCTGCTTCTTTGATGATTGTTAATTTTGACATTTGATGCAGGTATGATGTTCCTAGGGGCACATTTTGACATGCCCCAGCAGATTAGTTTAGGAACTGTCATCCAGAAGAAAATGACCTTTAACTACCTAGTGAATTAGCACTCTTCTTCATACTGTGGTACCAGAAATATAGAGATATACTCTCAAGGGATGTGTATGTATAAAACACGAGAAGAGACTCCATTTGGAATCATCTGTGTGTTTGTTTCTCATTCATGCCCTGGGTGACACTGAAGTATATCCTGAGAGGTGGGGGAAGAGTATTTGACCGGGAATCCTGCTGGTCTGGGTTTGAATCCTGGTTGGTTCACAGGGGGATGGTTGTGAGCTTTCCTAACCTCTGATGCTCTTCCTGTGTAATTGGTGCCAACAAACACCAGCCACTCTCCTTGTCAACATTCTTCTGTTGTGTGTACGTGATCTGTACTTGATCTGTGACCACATGCCTTTGTGTGATAAACATGGTAAATACATTGCCATCCTCAGACTTTCCCAGGCTGAGTAGATGAATGAGAGAGTTTACTTTCCAGTATCACCGTATTCAGGAATTAAAATGTGTTCAGGAATTAAACAGGATTGAGATGTCTGTATTAAATACAAGGCTTTACCACATTTCATGAAGAACCTGTAGCCCCCCAAAAGTGGCTTTTCCTTGGATAGAGTTTATTATGACATTGAGGTTTTTAAGTTCCAGGAACAGAGTATAGGATTCATTTCCACCAGTAGCTTGGAAGCAGTTAATAGGAGAGGGTGTAATAGCCTTCTTCCTTTACTGGGGATAAATTGAATCTAATATATGATGTGTGGATAGGAA